CTGGGAGTTGAAGTCCACACATCTTCAAGCTGCCAAGGCTGAGAAACACTGTACTAGCTTCTTATATCCAAGGAATTTTGTATGGAAGAGTCCACAGTGGTGTGAGTTTCATCTTACACTCTTAGAAAATTCAGATTTGTCATCCCACGAACAGCTGCTGGCTCTGAATCTTTAAATCAGACTCAACTAAGCTAATTTCCAATCAAAGGGAAGAGAAATGAGTCAGTGTTGGAATCTGGGATTAATACCTTCCCTTCCCACCCCACCCCAATATGGTAAGCTAGGCCCAGTGGGGTTATGATGCAGGTCTTAGGGGCACTGAGATTTTTCTGGCCACGTTTCTTCTCTTCCGCTCTTTCCACGTTCTTCATACTCCATCTTTTCTCCACAGCCTCAGAGAAGAGTTCCTCCTTGCTTTCTGACATGATGCAGGCCGACAGCCCCCGAGCCTGCAAGTTTGGGCGGCAATGGTACATGCACAACGAGAGTTGGCACCCCACGGTGCCCCCCTTTGGGGAAATGAAGTGCATCACCTGTTGGTGCTTGGTGAGTCGGGAGGCGTTATTGAGAGGAGAAGAAGTTAGTTGGAAATTCTGGAGCAAAATTCGGTGGGAAGCTTGGAGATTGGACTGTAGTTCAGATGTCTCTCTCCTAGGAGATGCCTGTACCCCAGTAGATGCAAGAAATCTGCCTGTATGGTTGAAAGCTGTGCCACACAATTGTTGTCTGGAAGTCCTTGTGTGGTCAGGCTAGTGCAAGCATCTGGAATTCAGTTTTAGGACAGAAGCCAAGTTGGGAACAGAGCAATCAAATCGAATTGCTGGCCATGGGTGGGTGATACTATAACAGCCTTTCCCAACCCGAGGGCCCCGACCAGGTATGTTGTTCAGGTCTCGTAATCCCAGGCCATGCTGAGTGTTGCAGGAGTCAAAGCCAAGCAATAGTACATCACACCAAACTTTGAAGGTAGGCAAAGAAAAACTAAGGACCAGAGGCAGCTGATGTGCCAGAAACCAGACAGAGGATTGTTACTGAACCCAACAGATAAGGGGAAAGGAAGAGGTTGGCTGTAGACAGTAAGGAAGATGACCTTGATGGAGATATGCAGGATCGATTGACTAGGCCAGTGTTTCTCAACCTTGGCAACTTTAAGATATGTGGACTTCCCCATGCTGGCTGGGGAATTCTGGGACTTGAAGTCCACATATCTTAAAGTTGCCAAGGTTG